TTGATTCTTATGCTCCCCCTTCCTGACTAGGATAAAAACAATTTCTTTTAAAATTTCCCCTCTTTGGGGGCTGGAGCGATAGTACAGGTGTTTGCCTTGCTCGTGGCTGACCTGGGTTCAATCCACAACATCCCATGTGATCCCCCAAGCACTGCCAGGAGTAATTTCTCAGTGCAGAGTCAGGAGTAAGCCTTGAGCACTGCCATGTGTAAGCCAAAAAAACAAACCAATTTTTTCTTTGCTTTTTGGGTCACATCGGGCAATGCACAGAGGTTACTCCTGGCTTTGCACTCAGGAATTATTCCTGGCGGTGCTCATATAGGATGCTGGGAATCAAACCAGTGTCAGCCACGAGCAAGGCAAGCGCCCTACCCGCTGTGCTATTGCTCCAGCCCCACAAACCAATTTTTTAAATTTTTTTATTAAAGAATTTTTTAATAGTGAGACATCATGAGGTACAGTTGCAGACTTACACATTTTTGTGCTTGGGTTTCGATTATACAATGATCAAATACCCATCCCTCCACCAGTGCCCATTCACAAACCAATTTTTAAAAATAAAAATTAAATAAAATTTCGCCCTTAACTGCCTTTTTCTTTAGTTTTGGGACCACGCCTAGCGATACTCAGGGGTTATTCCAGGTTCTACATTCAGGAATTACTCCTGGCGGTGCTCAAATGACCATATGTGGAGCCAGGGATTGAATCCAGGTCAGCGCACACAATGCAAGTGCTCTACCAAGCCCCTAATTTTTGCCTTTTTTGCAATATCATTTACCATTGCTTTTTAGTGCTTGCTCTAGATATTAAAATACACGTCTTTAACTTTTCACTATTGTGCTTAGCTGCTTCACACAAATAACGTAAGACTTTCTACTGTGTAGATTTATTCCCCATCCACCCATTTCTTTGTATCCGGCTACACTGATTACAAACCCCATACTATGCCATTCTCACTTTCACTTTGAATGGCCGTATGCATTATAAAGAGATTAAGAAAAACAAGCGTCTTTGTGCTTCCCGCTTAGGCAGATGAAGGTTTCCCTCCTCTCTCAGTGTTTCCTCAAGCTACCCGGCTCCTTTAGCATCTTTAGTGCAGCCCTGTTGATGAATTCTCTTGGTTTGCATCTGCTCTCAAAGGGTACTCACTTCCCCTCCTTCATGTCGGAAGCATCTTTCCTCTGGATCGAGGCAGGGACTGAGGGAGTGACAGCTGTTTGTGTGTTGGTTGGTTTGCCCGTGCGCTTGTTTTGCACTTTGAAGCCCCTGCTCTCCACCGTTGCCAACAGGAATCAGGGGAGATTCTTGTTAATATTTGCCTGCACGGTGGTGCTTCGCCCCACACTGTCTGCTTTCAAGATTTTCTCTTTATGCTCCTTTTCAGCAGCTGGACTATGATGCGTGTGCCTCCGTGTGGCTTCTCGGTGGATTTATTCTTGACATCCTGAGAGCTTCTAGAATCTGCTCATGTTGATCTCCCAGTTTTGGAAATGGTCATCCTCTTTCTCATCGTCTGATCTCTCCTGTGATTCCACACTTGCTAATGAATTTCTTTGTATTATTCTCGCCAACACAGTCCTTTTCCCCTCCTCTCACTTTGTCCGAGCACATCTTTTCCCTGACATGCACATCTTTTCTCTGGCGCTCCTGTCATCTCCCTTCTGACACGCACGCCTTTCCCTTCGGGAGCTATTTGCAATTCAAAAAGTTAGCATTGGCTCTTCTCAGGAGAGATTTTTCTCTATTGAGATGTCCTCTTTCAAAGGTGAATTCTGAGAAAGTTCCATGTCATGAGGTGTATTTTCTGCCACTGCTAGAAGCACCCTGAAAACAAGCATACTCCCTGCCTCTCAGAGGGCCTCAGCAGCACGCTTGTGACCCCCAGCTCTTGTTTTCCCTGGTTTCTCCGCAGCGAGGTACTTGCTGCTTTCAGAAGATGGGCTGCGAGGCTTCCCACTACCCTCACTGGGTGCGGCATGGACAGTGGAACAGGGCAGAGAGCTACGTCAAGGGCCAGCGGGGAACCTCTCCAAGAAACCGGGGGCCAGGTGCACGGCAGTAAGGGCTAAGTGTGGGGGTCTGCTCTGCCTGGAAGTGTGGCTCCCTTCTGGGGTGCAAGCCTGGTCCCAGAGGCTGGCCCCTACGTGTCCTGTTATTCCCAGGGTTTCTCAGGGCCCCGAGTCCTGCGGTATGAAGGACCAGGATGGAGGGTCATTTGTTCCCTCTTCCAGACCTGCCACCCAACCTCAGGGAACTCCCTGAGTTCCACGCACACACCGTGCGCCCACCCTTTTCTCCACCTGCCTGGGCTGGCATCATTCCCAGTTAGTCTCTGGGACTCAGAAGACGTGTGCAGGACCTGCATGTACCACACAGCGTGTCAGCCACAGCAGGCCTACCCTCAGGATGGGACCGCTGCCTTAGCCATTGCCAGAAGCCCTCCAAGTTGGCCTTCGCTGACCCTCAAAAGCCTCCCAAGCCAAGGCCTCACCCATGTCCAGCTAGAGATTCCCCAGGACCCTTTCTCCTGGCCCCAGGGTCCTGGAGACCTGCTGCAGAGCCAGAAAATGTGGGCTGACCACCGAGCAGGCCCAGCGGAGCCCCGAAGATTCCAGGCTTCTGCGCATGATCGGAGGAGTGGACAACCCAGCACGCTGTCAATGAGGCACATCCTTGGAATTCTTCCAATGGCATGGGGCAAAGAGAAAGTACTGGATTTGAGGTGCTTGTCACACACAGTTAACCCGGGTTCCATTCCCTGATCTCATAGGGTCACCCAAGCCCTACCAGGAGTGAGCTCTGAGGTCCAAGTCAGGAGGAAACCCTGAGTGCCGCCAGATGTGGCCCACAAACAAAACATTATCAAAAAAATTTTTAAAAAAGTTTAGGAGCCGGAGAGATAGTGCAGTAGGTAGGGCATTTGCCTTGCATGTGGCCAACCTGGGTTCGATCCCTGGTATCCTATATAGTCCCCCAAGCATCGCCAGGACTGATTCCTGAGTCCATAGTCAGGAGAAACTCCTGAGCATTTCCGGATTGCCCCTACAAATAAAAAAATAAAGTTCTTATTGTAAAAGTGAAAGAGTTCTGCAGGGTGCTCGATGGCGCCAAGACAATGGGAACTCATTTGTTTCCCTGCAGAAACGGCCCTGTGGCTTCTACTCAGACAAGGTGCCTTGTGTACAAGCAAAGGGAGGCAGTGGCAATATAGTACCCCACTTTGGTAACTCTGGGCCACTGCCAGTCTGTGGCCGAGGCATGCCCATCACAGTGCCTGGTGGCACCATTGCTCTCTCCACCTTGTCGGGCTGCTTTACGGTCGCCGCTTAATCCTCAGTTTAGATCTTCAGATCTGAACCTCTTTGTGTCTGAAAAGATCATTTTTCCCCAAGATCATCAGTCACCTGATGCTTCTGCCACTGCTAGAAGCACCCTGAAAACAAGCATACTCCCTGCCTCTCAGAGGGCCTCAGCAGCACGCTTGTGACCCCCAGCTCTTGTTTTCTCTGGTTTCTCCGGAGCGAGGTACTTGCTGCTTTCGGAAGATGGGCCGCGAGGCTTCCCTCTCCCCTCACTGGGTGCGGCATGGACAGTGGAACAGGGCAGAGAGCTACGTCAAGGGCCAAGTGCTAGACTCTCCCCTGCTCAACCCCCACCCCGCAAAGGGCCAGACCACAGTTGGAGCACGTGGCCAGAGGGCCTTCCGCACTCTGTTTTGGGGGGACTAAGATCTCACTCCTCTGAACCGGAAACACCCTAAAGAGGTGCTCTGAAAGCGGGCTGCATGGGAGCACCAGGCGTGGAGACTCCCTCGCCGCAGGAGGGGCACTCGCATTGGGGCGTGAAGGGCAGGTGGGCAGGGTTGGGCTCATTCCAGGCAAGGCCCATGATGCCACTGCCCACCTCCCTGACATGGCCTCCTTTGTCTCCTCTGTCCATCCCTGCCCACACTCCCCCATCCATTCTCTCTGGATGCCCATTCCATCTCCTTGACTCTGGGGAGTTGGTCCCCTGCCTGCTGGCTGACTGGACAAAAGGACCGGGATCAAATCCTGGAGAGCTTCTCAACCCAAACACTTTCTCTCCCCCTCACCCCTGCCCCCGTGGGGGGGGGGGCTGCGCTGAATAAACTACTGCCTCCCCAATCCTTGGGGAGGGCTGGGCAGCTATGGAAAATCCCTGGGGTGAGCAAGAGCCGGGCCAGAACCCCTGTGGGGCGTAGGGCGGGAGCGGGGCTGGGCATCCCTCCCACCGTGCCGCGCATGCTCCGTGCCCCCCCTTACCACACCGGGGCTGCCCCAGCCCCGCCCGCTCCGGCCCGCGCCCGAGTCTGTGGCGTGGGTGCCAGACAGGACTGGCATGCGGGTTCTCTCTTGGAGGATGCGCCTCGCGGGCAGCGCTGCCGACCAAGTTGAGACTCGGTGGAAGCCCAGCCATCTCGTGGTGGCAACGCCTGGGAGGGCTGCTTGGAGGCGGCAGCCTTGGTTTCTGTCTGCCTGAGATCAGGAGACAGACACCCGCGGGCGTCTGCGGAGCCCCCTCCCCTCCCCGTACACGACGCAGGTAGAAAGACCGGGGCAGCGGAGGCAGCGAGCATCGGGACGCCTCAGCGTGCCCCCGGCGCTCCCCTCCAGGCGCACGGAGGGACGAGCGGAGACAGCCCGTAGGCCACCCACGCCCCAGCTTGCTCGGAGCGCGCCTCGCCGCTGTCCCGGGACTGGAAGAGACTCCGTCCTGCATGCGAGCCGCCGGGTAAGTTCGGGTTTGGCACCTGAGCGGGCCACCGCGGGCACCGGCGTTGGGGCGAGTGCACTCCTGCACCGATGCACTAGCCCGTTGCCTACAGGTCCTAAGTGTGCCCCCGCCGCTTTGGGGGGCAGTGTCACCTAGGTGATGCGGGGTTGGCAGCGAGCAGTCTGCCAAGGAGGGCTGGGCAGGAACGAGGCCGGGCTCCAGGGGGAGTGAGCGGCCGGCGCTGGCCCGGACAGTTCTCGCTGCGTGCAAGCCCGCCCCAGCTGCCCAGCGGAGCGGACCTTCCAGAGCCAGGAAACTGAGCCCAGGGTCGTCCCTCCACCCCTCCCCCGCGCGGGCCACACACGGTAAACAGCAAACGCTGGAGGAGAAATCGAGCTGGGAAACGGTGGGGGCGGGGCGGCCGCTTAAATCGCGTGGCTAGAAGGCGACATTGAGAAAACTCCCAGACAGCCCCATGCTCGTTAGGAAAAAGCCGTCCGGGCAAAGGCACTGTGGCCACGCGGCCACGTGAGTGAGAGAAACGGAGAGCCAGGAAGGTGGAGGAGTTGGACGCTGAGATGCACATGGGGAGGGCTGGGAGTACGGGGCCGCACCCCATCGAAAGGAACGCTTCCTGACGTCCTAGCAGAGCCTGGGGCCCCCAGCACAGACGTACCAAACTCCAGGATGCCTGCCCTAACCCCGGGCCTGGGGTCATTTCTCCAGGGAGATGCCCGGTGACCTGAGCTCCGAAAGGCTGTGAGGGAGCCCCGAGGCGACACTCGGAGTGTTGACCCGCCGGATCCCAGAGGATGGCCCCTCGGTAGGAATATGCCCAGGGCAGGAGCCTGACTATCCCTACGAGGGCTGAGGGCCTGTCGTGCCGGTGGCTCGCTGGCTTTCTCTTGGAGGGAGAGCGCCCTCTTGTGCTGTCCGGGGACATGGGCGCGGGAGCTCTGCTCGGCTTCCATCGCCGCCCCGCGCTGGCTGATTCCGCGGGATGACACCTGTGGGGGCCTTCCTGGCTTCTGATGTCAGCCCCCACCCCGTTCCAGATGGACCCTATATCAGTTTCGGGGAAGCCTTCGCCTACCCCATCCCCCACCTCAATTCTCTGCTCAAGAATCACGAGTTTGAGATGAAGCCACGCCCCCTTCTACAGGATCTTTCTAGATTCTTCCTTCTGTTCCATCTCTCCAGTGTCGCTCCCTCCCCCGCGGGGCTGCGTCGCATTAGGGGACATGGCGATGAGGTGCACACGACTCTGAATACCCCTCTGTCTTGGCCGGCACCTTGTTCTTCCCGGCACTCAGCCCAAGTGCCCTCTCCTGCGAGAGTGCAACCCCGTCCATCTTGGCATTGGGGGAGAAAAAGAGAACATCTTTTCCTTCTCATGTCTTTCAAAATGGCTCTAGAACTAGACATATGGCCACTTCAAAACTGGAGCAGACTAGAGTTAGCTCCTCTGACTAGCCCCTACAGCACGCACATCTGCTGGACACCGGGCAGGGGGTGGGGTGGGGAGTGTCACAGTGACACAGATGTGGCAAGAAGATGTAATCATCTCAGTCTGTTTGGGGAGGGACTGGGAGGCACTCCTGACAGTTCTCGGGGCTTACTCCTGCCTCTGGGCTCAGGGATCACTCCTGGCGGGACTCAGGGCACCCTGTGGGGTACCAGGGATGGAACCCAGGTTGACTGAGTGTGAGGCACGTGTTTTCCACAGTGCATGAACTCTCCATACCCTCCTCCATAGATTTTACTGAGGTGAGGGTCACTTAACAGAAGGGGTGTCGAGTGGCCTTGGAGACCCCTCCCCTTGGTAAAGGGGTCAGTTGTGTATGAGAAGGGTGGAGAAAAGAGTTCCCAGAACATGGCTGCAATAGTAGTTGAATCAGTTCACACTTGAAACAAACGCGCCATTCTGCCAGGCCACTGGGGTGTGAGGGCTTCGCCTCTGGGTTGGGTCCTTTGCCTTCAGCAGCTATCGCGAACCTCCCCAGTTTGCTTTCTGTTTCCTTTCTTCTCCAGGGACAGGCTGGGGGGGGGGGGGGGTCTCAGGTGACAGATGCTTCCTTCCCGTTCATTCTCTTTGATTTGGATGCTGCCCTGCAGGGAGGAAGGGTGACCAGGCTGCCTCCCGGTGGGCGTGGTCATCTGCTTGCCCTCCTGGCTTACTTCTTTCTTTCTCTTCCTTTTTCCTTGGCTTTTGCTGAACTCACTTCACAAGAGATGAAGACCAGTACTTCCAGGCCCTTCTCTTGTAAGACAGCTGTATCTGTCACCTGGTGCCACTGGCCCTCCAGCTTGCAGGCACCAGTGCTGCCACATCACCCAGCCACACCCCTGACCCGGCCCTTCCCCTTGTTTCTGCCCAGCCAGGAGAATGACTCATCTTTTGGATCAGCTGGTCACCCCATGGCAGTGTCTTTAAGTGGTCCTCAGGCACATCTACACAGTGGAGCTCAGGTCCGAAGGCCGTTCATTTAGAATGGGGCAGCCGCAGCCCTCCATGGGCTCCCCCTGTGCACCCGTTGCTGATGTATCCCCTATGACTATGCCAGCTTGGGGCAGCAGACGATGGGGAGGCAGCCTGAGAACCTGTCTCTGGTTGGTGGCCGGTTTGGGTGTGTCCTCCTGCGGGAGCACTCCTGGGGTCAACACAGGCCTCCAGACACGGGGCTCACAAGTTCCCTCTTGGCAATCTGGCCGAGGCAGGGTGCAGTGATTGTAGGGGAGGCCTGGCCCTGCGTGGCATTTGCAGCCACACCCCAGCTGGGTTCCCCTCACTCTAGTGTCCGTCGGGTGGGACACAGTCCACTGCCTGGCCCGACCTGCTTTGCCACAGGAAAAACCTTTTCGGACCTTTCATGACGCTCAGCTTTCACCACCTACTGCAGCTGACCACTTTCAGTGCCACGGACACCAAGCTTGGGGCTGTATCCTTGACCCACCCTGTGGCAGTGCCCAACCCCGTGCATCTTCCCCGAGCCGGGTCTTTCTCTTCTCCAGAGCCCAGCTCTGCATGGTGGAAGCTGGTTTCACGGCAGTTTTCCAGAGGCGGCAATCGGGGCCCAGCGGAGCTCCCCAGAGTGGGGTGCTGGGAGGAAGGCTGGGCTGGTCCCCAGGCACTGTGAGGAAAGAGCCACTTCTGTCGCCTGGCTTACTTCCCTGGAGGGGACAGAAGCCAAGCATGGAAAGTGGGATGCCCCACCCCGCCCTCAGCACGCCTGTTGGTTCTGACCTGTGTCACCTGGAGTGAGGCTCCCAAGGGAGCCACTGGAGTGGCAGGGACAAGCTCAGGGACCCAGATCAGTGGCACAGGCTCCAGTGCTGGATGGTCCTCATGCTGCCCTCTCCTCCCTCAGCTCTGGGGTACCCAGCCATGGAGGTCCCCCTCCCAAAGGCCAGACCCAAGGTAAGTGGGGTTTCCCGACTGGGGAGCCCTCACCTCTGCCTCTTCCCCTCCATTGCCACTCCGCTCCTCTTCCGCCAGCTGAGGCTGCACTGAGCACCCCCACTTCTGAGTTCCAGATGCTTCTTTCCCACCAGAGACAGCTGCTTGTTCGTTTGGTTGCTTTGTTTCTGTTTGGTTTGGTTTGGGCTTGGGGGCCACACCTGGCTGTGCTCAGGCTTGCTCTGGCTTACTCCTGGCTCTGTGTTTAGGGATCGCTGCTGGCAGTGTTCGAAGATCATATGGGATGCCGGGGATGGAACCCAGGTTCACGCGTGCACGGCAGGCGCCCACCACCCCCGCTGTTGTCTTTCTGGCCCCCCCAGCAGCTGCTTGCTTCTGCATCACTGGACCGCCCCCAGCTACTGAGCCCCTCGTGCTCCCTTTCCTCGCTGCCAGCGCCTCCGTGATGCTTGTGTGGTGCCAAACTGGCGCGACCACGGGGATGGCTCTGTTTTAGGTGTCAGTGTCTTTTGAAGATATCTCTATGGACTTCACCAAAGGCGAGTGGAAGCTTCTGGATTTCAGGCAAAAGATCCTCTATAGACAAGTGATGCTGGAGAACTACCACCACTTGGTGTCTCTGGGTAAGGGCCGCCGCACACCCTCGCCCTCAGGCTCAGTTTCTTTTTCTGCTTCAGCTCGTGTGCAGGCCAGTCTCACAGGGTGACCCAGATACTCTCTAAGGGATAAGCACCTTTCAGTGCTCACTCTGCCCTTCCGCACTGGGGCTTTACATGGACCTTTGACAGATAAGTCTGTGGCTTAATTGACCCCTTGCCACCCCGAACATAGATACAAGCTCCACCAACACTGCTTCCCACTGTCAAAACTTGATTTATCTTGTCTGTTTGTTTGGGGGCCACACCTGGCAATGCTTGGGGCTGATTCCTAGCTCTGTACTCAGGGATCACTCCTGGTGGTGCTTGGCAGGCACCATATAGGGGGTTGGGGATTGAACCTGGGTCAGCTGCGGTGACACAAGCAACTTGCCCTCTGCACTATCTCTCTAGCCCCGAAACTTGATTCATCTTTATCAGGGTTGTGTTTTTCTTTCCTTCTGCCTGCTAGACTGGCAGCCTCATTGCCTGGGATCAAGCCCCACGGGTCCTGGACTCCCAGGACAAGGCATGACTTGGCCTCTGAGACCCAGGGCAGCTGAGGGCACCCAGCTAGCCACGACCACATTGAAGAGGCCACTTAACGACTAACCAGGATGTCAGGACTGGGTGTTGGAGCCAGAGCATCCCCTCTGCTGCCAGGCCAGACTTCCCCCACCTTGCACCCTGGATTCACTGCCTTGGAGGTTGCAGGGGTCTATTGACTCCCCATCTTTTCATTCACAGATTTGACTTTTATGATCAGAGAGGGAGACTAACCTCTTCTCCTTTGCTTCTTTATTATCCTCATCAAGCACATCTGGGGTTCCTAGGAAATTTCTGGAATATCCAGATGAGTTTAGTATAAGTAAGTGAGACATAGGTTCTTTTTTATGGTGACACGGGGGATTCCATGTTTTGGGAGGCTGGCAATCCCTTACCTCTATTTCCCCCCTATGGCTCCCTGCTCTTCCTCTTCCTCTGTGGTTTAGGGTCTCATAGAACTCCCCGCTGTCCACAAGTGGGCTGCATTTCTTGGACAAAACACAAACTCCCCATCTTCTTGCCTGCCCCCGACCCCTGCTTGGGGCTCTCTGTGCCTGTCTGTCCCCTGCACCTTCAGAACCCCCCACTTCCTTCGAGGGATTCTGTCATTTCTCACCACCGCCCCACTGACAGAACCTTCTAGAGAGCTCTTCCTTCTCTGTTACCTGAAGACAGTAAGTCTGGGCTGAGCTCTGCAGTGACTCACGTGCTTGCTTCCATGGACAGGACTCACATCCTCTAAGCCTGACCTGGTTGCCTGGTTGGAACGAGGCAAGCAGCCCTTGCTAGCAACCCCCTGCACGTGGGGCACAGCAGTGCAGGAAGGTAAGTGAAGGGGACCCCAAGAGTGTCCAGGGGCTGGTGGAGGGACGCTGCTGCCTTGGCTGGGGGATTCTCTTTGCCACTGTGCCACATCTAAATCTCTCTGGGACAAAGCTCCTCCGTCAAGGTGCTGCATGCCACCTGACACCAATGACACCATCCCCACCTTGTATCTGTCCGTGAGCCTCTCGTTCCCCGTCCCCCCTCCCACCCTCATCCGCAGTCAAGAGTGACCCTGACTGGTATTCTAACCTGACAGGTGACAGGCTTAAGAGCAAGCCACGGGTTTCCAAGCAGAATCCTGGCCCCAAAGAACCACAAGAGACCAATCGCCCACATGGCGGTGAGGGCCAGCCGGCTGGCCAACCAGAGAGAGCACTAACTCCCGGAGGGAAACAGGCTGATGCTCCAAAGCCAGGTTCTGTGGGGGGTGGTCCTGGCAGCAAGAAGGACCCAGGCGGCCCTGCAGCTAAGGGAGGAGAGAGCGTGCTGGCGAGCAAGCGCCCAGAGAGGCAGAGAGCGCGCCCAAGGCCCAAGCGCCCCCAAAACACCGATAAGCTCTTCCTCTGTGAGCAGTGCGGGAAGTGCTTCAACCGCAGCTCCAACCTCATCAAGCACTGGATCATCCACAGCGCCGAGAAGCCGTACGAGTGCTCCGTGTGCGGGAGGCTGTTCCGGAGGAGCTCCGCCCTCCAGGAGCACCAACGCATCCACAGCGGTGAGAAGCCCTACAGCTGCACGGAGTGCGGGAAGACGTTCACCCGCAGCTCCAACCTCATCAAACACCAGGTCATCCACAGCGGGGAGAAGCCCTTCAAGTGTCCTGAGTGTGGGAAACTCTTCCGCCGCAGCTTTGCGCTCCTGGAGCACCAGCGCACCCACAGCGGCGAGCGGCCGTATGCCTGCCCTGAGTGCGGCAAGTCCTTCAGCCGGAGCTCCAACCTCATTGAGCACCGGCGAATCCACAGCGGCAAGAAGCCGTACACGTGCAGCGAGTGTCCCAAGGCCTTCAAGGGCATCTCCCAGCTCATCCACCACCAGAACGTCCACAGGGGAGAGAAGGCGTTCTCATGCCAGGAGTGTGGGAAGGCCTTCCAGGGCCGCTCAGGCCTCAGCCAGCACCGGCGCGTGCACAGAGACGAGCAGCCCTACAAGTGCAGCCGCTGTGGGAAAGTCTTCAGCAGACGCCCCAACCTCCTCAAACACCAGCTGCTTCACGACAAGGAGCAGCCCGGCCCCTGCTAGCCACCACACGATCGCAAGGAACAGTCTGCGGCGAGAGAGGCAAGTTTTTCGAGGAGCCCAAGGGTCAATCACCTTCAGAAATTCATGGCAGGACCACGGCTGGGAAGGCCGTTTCCTCCACCTGCAGAAAACCCACCATGCAGTTCTGAGTGATCCCAAAAGGCACAGAATGTGTGGCTCCGGGTTCCGCAGAGCATGGCCATCCCAGCCGCTCCCCTCCCTTCTCCCCTGCCCTGAAAACTGTCATGCGTACATAGAGACGTATGTTGGTCCTACACGAAGCGCCCTGGCCTGCCACTTCAGGAGGAATAAGACGCTGGTGCTGGGCTGAGTGAGGCGACAATCTGGGCCATCCCTCACGCTCGCTGGCTCCATCCAACGACTGGTCAGTGTTTTCAGGTGGGAGACTCATAAAACTCTTATGTCCTTTAAGGGATTCTCCAGAGCGGGGTCTTGAGGGGATCCAAAGGCATGGCTGTGGCAGGAGACTGTGGACTAGACTGACATCCATTGAATTCACCAGAAACACCTGGAAGTGACTGAGGAAGTAGACGCGTGCCAGGCTGGGCCTGTCCTGCCATCCTGCAGGGAGGGCGCTTCCAATGTCTGCCCCTGCCAGGGGAACTGACCTTTACCCCAAAGCTGCTGTTCAGAGGAGCCCAGCCCAACCCCTTCTGCTGGGTGTCTGGGGGTCCCGCAACGGCAGGGCGCGAGGACTCTGCCCTTCTCCCCGGAAGAAGCCTTTTCTCTGACTAGACTCCTGCAGCACCCCGAGCCAGCTCAGAGCCTGCACTCCCATCCTGCAGGTAAAAGTAAAAGTAAAGGCCCTCCCGTTGATCATCGATTTGCTCAAGTGGGCCCAGTAATGTCTCCATTGGAGACTTTGTTGTTACTGTGTCTGGCATATTGAATACGTCACGGGGAGCTTGCTAGGCTCTGCCAGTATCTGCCGTGCGGGCGAGATACTCTCGGTAGCTTGCCGGGCTCTCCGAGAGGGGCAGAGGAATCGAACTCAGGTCGGCCATGTTGGCTGCGTGCAAGGCAAACACCCTACCGCTGTGCTATTGCTCCATCCTGCAGGTGAGAAGGAGAAATGCAGCCTGATGCTGGTGCCCTGTCCCACAGCCTGTCCCATAGGTTCCATGAGATGAGTATTTCTGTGCTCAGAGCTATAAGCGCTTGTTGTTCCTAAAACATCAGAAACCCTCCCAGTGGACCTCAAGACAGTAGATGGGTCTCCAGGGGCCCCACAGCATTTGTGGTGGCAAGGTAGGACCTTGCCAGCCCAGAGACAGGCCATCTCAAGTGGCAGCCAGCCAAGGAAACTTGTCTGGGAGTGAGATGGTGCCCACTCCACATTGCTTTACCCATCTGTGTCCAGACCACTGCCCTTAGAGCTTTCCGCCTGTGTGCTCATGGACTGCCACCTCCTTCCAGGAGAGCAGTGCCAAGCGGGCACTGAGCTGAAGGGCATACGTCACCTACCATCCCTGCCAGATGGGATGGCTCGAGACCCCATAAACAGCACTCCTGGGCACACTGCTGGGCGTCCCCATCACAAGGATGCCTTCAGGAGGGAGAGACAGCCAGACCCGCTTTTATACAGAGGCAGGACACAGAGCAAATTGCCCGGGTGGGACCCAAGAGCCTCGCTCTCACGGCTTTCACACAACAGGCCTCTGTCCCCTAGTCCCGTGACTATTGTCTTTTCTGCTGACAAGGATGTGGCCTCCGTAAATGCTTCTGCCATGGCTACTGTTTCATCAGGGGAACCCTAGCCAGATCTCAGGCTCCCCGGAAGAAAGGAAGGGCAGGGCTTAGAGCTGTGAGCTCGCATGGAGCTCGTGGGGTTTGTGGGCTTGCTTTCTGAGGTCTGGCTTGTATGCAGAGGGGGCAGCTTTCCCCACCCCCGGCGCACAGCTGAGGGCATCACGATGCTGGCTCTGCCCTGTGGCTGTGGGTACTGCAGTGACCCCACAGTCTTCTGTGTCAGTCTCGGTTCTCGATGAAGCTCGATGCTCCCAGACCCCAAAGAAGGGGTTCGGGTGCAGGAGGGTGAGAACTGAGGCCATGCCAGAGTTCAGGTGGTCCCCACACCCAAAGATACAAACAGTGGGTGGCTTCATGCCCACAGTGCCTCTCACTCCTCAGATTCTCCCCCTTGCTTGCTGTTTACTGCTGCTTCTGTATCAGGCCAGCACCCTTGGTTTGGATGAGGCCGCACTGTGTCTTTTTCTGGCAGCTTTGGGGATGCCCTACTGTCACCCAAGGAGTAGACGAGTTCTGCTGCATGTCCACCATGAAACCATCATGCAGTGAAGACAGTGAACGTGTCCATCCTTCACCACCCAGTGCTGCCACCCGACCCTCCCTGTGCTCAGGTTGCCATGTGGGAAATAGTCCTCCTGCGTGATCCACACTCACTGCTCCCCAATTCACTACCTCCCCCAAACACCTCACGGCCACTGACAAATAAATGCGACGCATTTGTGCACCAGTATCAGCGTGTCTCCATTGCTCCCACCATGGTAAACTTGATTAACACGAAGGAACCGCCAACCTGTTTCCCAGGGCACAAGAGCAGGCAGACCTCCATGTCCTGGTGGCTGGGGAGGACCAGTTCATAGGTGTGGGACTTCACACAGAGTCTTTCAGGCCTTGTCGGCTGTGCATGTGTCTGCTCTGCAGAAATGGTGTTCAGATCTTCTCTCATTGATGGCTTGGCTTTGCTTTATCTAGGAGATCGAGATCCAAGTCTTTTATCAGTCATGTGCTTTGCAAATACTTTTTCCACATAGTAACTTATGTTTGCACTGTCGTAGACTTTGGGGAGATGGGAGGAGGTTGCGCCACAGCTGGTGATGCTCAGGACTTACTCCTGGCTCTGCACTCAGGGATCACTCCTGGTGGGCTCAGGAGATCCTATTTGGTGCCAGAGACCAAAACACCTGGATTGGCTGTTGGTTGTAAGCTCCTAGCCCACTGCACTACTCTCTCTCCAGCCACACACCTGTTTCTTTTTTTTCTTTTTTTCTTTTATTTATTTATTGCAGGGAGACTATTTATTTATTTATTTATTTATTTGCAGGGAGACTACACCTGGTGATGCTCAGGGCTTATTCCTGGCTCTGTTCCCAGGAATCACTCCTGACAAGTTTGAGACCATACGGGGTGCCATAGATGGCACCAAGGTCAGCCATATGCAAGACCCTTGCCCTACCGTCCATCCTATCTCTCCAGCCTTCCGATACCTGTGTTTTAAGAGCAGAAGTTGTTTTATCTTGATGAACTCAATTGCTGAATTTTAAATTATACAGCATGTGCCTTTTATACCATAAGTAAGAAATCTTTGTAAAACCCACGTCACTAAGATCGAATTCTGTTTTCCAAGAGCAGTTGAGTAAGCCAGGGCTGACTCAAAGACTGGAGTGCAGTGGCCCCGGCATACAAGTTCCCCCAAGCTTCGCTGGGGATGACCCCGAACACTGATCTGGGACTAGGCCTGGAACACTGCCAGGTGTGGCACGAACCGAACAAAATCAAAGGAGCCAGAGAAATAGTAAAGAGAGATAGCAGGTGGGGTGTTTGCTTTGCACACAGCTGGCCCAGGTTCAAGTCTGGCAGCGCATTGGCTCCCCCGCGCCTGCCAGGAGTAAGCCCTGAGCACCGTCAGGCATAGGTTCCTCAGGGAAAGAAGCCACCGAAGAAGTTGTGTCCTTTTAGTACTCCGCCTCCGCTTAAGTCTGTGCTGTTGGGGCTAATTGGATGTGTCCTGCGGGGCTAATGTTCAGCTCTCCCTCTAGGGGGCGCATCAGCCTTCCCAGCTCTTCTCCCCCAGGCCCAGTACTTGGCACTTTTTCCCAAACTCAGTGGGGTTGTGTGAGTCAACTCTGGTTGCTTCCTTCATTGCATAGTGACTTATCACTGTCAATCAATGTGTCCCTCCTAAGTTTGTCGTACTTCTAAACATGCTTTTTAAATATTGTGTTTAAGTCATATGGTTACATTAGTGTTAATGCTTTTGTTGAGGGGGCTTTTTCGGTCACACCAGGCAATGCCCCTGGGTTACTCCTACCTCTGCACTCAGGAATTACTCCTGGTGGTGCTCGGGGGACCATATGGGATGCTGGGGATCAAACCCGGGTTGGCTACATGCAACACAAGTGTTCTCCCCAGTGTACTATCGCTCGGACCCCCACATTAATGCTTTCAATGCACTTCCTGCCCTTCTGCCATTTCCAGAGTTCCAAAAATTACCCCCACCACCACGGTCCTAGTGTCACTTCTACTCTGACCCACCACTCCCCATTCCCCAAGCCCCTTTAGTCACCTCGATTCTGTTGTGAAAGACGTTGTCTACAACCAAAAGCCAAGAATTGGGCTTGAAGCACACTGGAGCCAGGAGCCGTCTGGTCAGAATACATCTGAAAACAGCCCCGAGAGTATCTGTATTCACTGGCGAGGCGGTCTTGCCCAGCCGTCCCTGCATATGGAGGGTGGGGGCAGGGAGGCTCAGAATGATAGTACAGGAATTAGGGCGCTTGCCTGGCACCCATAGAATTCCCCCAAATCCTGCCAGGAGTGATCCCTGAGAGCAAGGGTAAGTCCTATGCACCACCGGGTAGGGCCCAAACACACACAGAAAAAAGGGAGACCCCCCCCCCCCCGCACACAGGAAGTGATCTGAAGGTGGTGGCTGTCCCCTCATAGGACCATTTGTTGCAGAGGTGCTGGGGACCACAAGGGCATCTGAGGGGGAGGGAGCATCTGGCCACATTAAGGATCAGTGTTTGGTTTAGGAGAGGGGGTTGACGAGGGTTTTCCAATGCACATGGAGTCACAGCCTTGGAGTCAGGGAGGGAAGACAGGGTTAAGGCGCTGGCCTTGCAAGCGTAGAGTCTCCCAAAGAGCTGCCTGAGCACAGAGGCTGGAGAAAGCCCTGTGAACCATTGGGTATGGCTCCCAAACTATCAAACAGATGAGACTTTAGAGTTGTGAGCTTTTTAAAAAAATTTTTATTAGTGAAACACCATGAGGTACAGTTGTAGACTTACAAATTTTTGTGCT